TCCAGAGAAGTCAGGGTTAGGAAGCAATTAGCTAACGTGGGTGGAGAGGGCCTGAAATCAAAATCAGTGGGATATGAAAAAGGGATCCCAATATGTTTATACAGGAGAAAAGACCAGGCTTGAAATTTCAGATTAGGATTATGAAACGTCTTTATTTTAAATTAAATTATTCCAAAGAAACTTCTGCAGAAGTCAGTTTCTCTTATTTTTAATAGAGACTTAAAACTACTTTGTCAGTTCTAGGAAATTCAAATTCTTTCTGCAGTCGGAAGCCAATTGAAATCAGCAATAGGCAAAATATAACAATCGGATCTTAGGCCTAAGAAACTTTAATTGTTTGCAGAGCTTTTTAAGGAACCTATATTACCGATTTTCATAACTAAATATTGTTATCAACAATTTCATAAGCTTAACTCAAGATATCTTTCTCGCAGAACCCCAAGACATCTGCACTCGCAGTTTAGAGGCCAATTCCGCTGTTCAAGTGAAAGATTGAAAGGTTCAGATCCCAACTTATCATGCAAGCTGTCTGTCCTCCGTATCTCGGCATCTTCGGCACAGATGGACACCAACATCCCCAGGCAGAAGTAAATCGAGAGCCAACTTAACCCCCAACCGGAATGAACTCACTTCCGTTCGATCCATGTGGGGGATTTCTTAGCAGCAAGTAGTGTTAACTGGACGGGTCGAGTGTTCAAGTGCAATTCCTAATTACTCATTCATAATTTCTGCTTAATTGTGAGCGTATTCCTCTTACACAATTGAAAGAACTACGCATCGTACTAGGTTCATTCATACATTCATTTATTTATTGCTTCTGCGAAGGGGAAGAGAACTGGCGGCGTAAATTAACTTAATTGAAATTCGGGTCAACAGAGAGGCCAAGATAATGAAAGAAACTAATTAAGGAGCACTACCGAACTGCCCACATATATTTGCCGTTGATTGTTACTTTGCGCATTTGTCGCTCAAATATTTTCAAATATTTTCCCATTCGCTGTGTTTGTATTGCCATTATTTGATTATTGGGTGAGTGTACGCGGCCCATGGGTTAACAATTATTGTATTAATAAATATTTGAATGCGCTGCCCTCATCTGATCCCATCAGCCTTTTATAGTGGAGTAGCCGGCCACATCAGTTTCAATTAAAAACACATTTTGTGGTCACTGTGTGGTCGCCACTAGATTCTCCATGGGTTGGGTTCGATTCGAGCTTGGGTTCTGCATAGTTTGCACTAGGTGACACACCCAGTACTTGAGGGGCTTCCATATATATATATGATGTGGGTATATACTTGCAGTCACCGATGGGTGGTGAAAGGGGTCCGTGGTGGACTCTTGTGGTGGCTCATCTAACTGGATTTAAAACCAATCGATAATGTCAATATTTTTCATACTGCTGTTGTAAACTACTTAGTGTCAACTAACTGGGTTAACAAATGTCGAGGTTCTCATCACTGATTCAATTACCCAATCAAGGTGTTGCAATACTTTTGGGGAACTATAATTTGGTTATAACAATCTTATTTGTCATTTGTCAATTTAACAAATTAAATTTTAACAAATAAATTATTCATTTTAATACCAATTTAATATCACTTAATCATCATGTTCAAAAAGGTCATACAATTTTCAACACCTTGTCAACCACCTCTTTCAAAAAGATCTCTACAAAGAAAAGTTTCCAGGCCAAGACAACTCCTATCTTCAATATCTGCTCTATTCAACTCAGAAAAAAAGTATATAATGAAAAGAAAGAATAACTTATCCCTTGCAACCGAAAACCCGTATGAAAAAACCACCGCTGATCTTAAGCCTTTGCACAAACAAAGCGTCTAAGCAACTAACCGATTATGTATAAAATATTTATGAAATAGATCCGTTCGAGAAACTAAGCCGATGGGTTTGAATCATTAGAGCGGAGAAGGAGCACCCAGTGGCAGTCTAAATGGACAAAAAGTGTAACAAACGGCACACGCATCCTGGATTCCAAATATCCCGTGTGCCAGGATGCGAATCCCGAAGATGCATGCTGGGTAATCAGGCCTCGGCATCTGCTGGTCGAGCCTTTCCTGTATATAGTACATCCCAAGGATCCGAAGGACCCACAAGGTTGCTCTTTCGACACCGTAATCCCCGCACTTAACCCGGGTAATAAGATAAGTAAGGCAGATCCGAGGTTTCGCTTTGCTTCTGCTTGTTATCTTTGTAAATTGCATGTCGAGCACTTAAGCCAATAGAAAGGAGACTTGGTTAAGACTTTTATATTTTCTACTTTCCTTTTGCTCGAGCGCGTGCTACTCGCTTTATTCGCATACCAATATTCCCATTCGGCTTACCCGCTGCCCAATTCTATTCTAAAGTGATATGTAGTTTAAGGAACCCCGAGACCCTCGGACTGATTTAGCGACTTAGAGCTCGGAGCTAGTCCCGGGCTTAGGTAAGTGGATTTCTGAATTCAATCCGAATCCAGGGCACATGCGATGTGTTAAGTATATAATGCGCTCATCCGATCTATTTCAATAACAAACCAGACCAACTTAAGCCGGGGCAGCCCAATAAAACAATGCCACCAGCAAATTGTTCTATTCGACTGATCTGCGGATTGAGCACAACAGTTCAGTGCAAAACCATCGACAGAAATATGGTATATATATGGCAACGGAATATGGGCAAAATATTTGAATCGATGGCTTAAGGCGTGGGCCAAAAACGATTTAACTCTTGCACTGACCTAAGCTGAGCATAAGCCCCAAATATGTACATACACGACGTGGAATCGGAGATGGTTCTCTGTTGAGAAATGCTTCTTTAGGAGCTGCTCAAATGAGCAGAGGGCTCATATTTAATAAACAATGCAAGGGTTTAGGCCAGCAATATTTAATCCTCACAATAAAAATCTCAGCTGCAAATGGCACAGTTTGCATTTAAAAGAATATAAATACAATCTTAGAACACGCTTGTACTTACCGATCCCGAATAATTTATTTAAGACTCTAAGAATAAATAAAGAAATAATAAAATATATATTACTATTTTTAAAAATCCTGATTATTGTGGGATAAAGGAAAGTTATTGATTGTTTTTAGTTTTTCTGAAATACAATTTTAAAATCAAAAAGATAATCTTAAAGAAATTGCATTTGTACTACATTACTACCAAGATAATCTAGTTTTTAGAGAATTATAGATGTACATATATATGGGACATTGACAATTATGATTATTGAAGAAACGTCATTAGCTTCTATTTAAATAATATCTTAATTATCCAACTAAGTCTAGCCATTTTATTACATATACATTAAGTAACCTGATTCGACTAATAGTTGATAAGTTATTGCACAACTTTCAACCAAACCCATCCCCTGCCCCTTTCATCCGATTTCCAGCTGACACCTTATAAAACTGCCAGCTAATCGTTTCAATAACATGATTTACCAGCACACACACAATAATTTACAATTATTGAATCGAAGAAAAATGGACACACAAAATATGATAATTGCTACCGATCGTCTCTCGCCGGAGATAAAATGTGGAAGGCAGATGAGGAGGGTGAGGAGATTAATCTAGTAACGATGATATTAATTATCATTTCGTTTACAAATCGCCTTTGAAAGAGCGAGAGAGAAAAGAGTGAAAAGCGGAGTATTTATGATATCGTCGGGGCTTGTTATTCGAATTTTTCCCTGTCAATCGATTTGGATGGGGAAAGGGGGAAAACTTGTTGATTCTGATGATGCTCCCTTTTTCTCACATCTTTTACTCCAACGCGCACTTAAGCCACGCACACAAACACATGTCAAGTGATCAAAGAATCAGAAGCCGCCGCACCAAGTGAAATTTTCGAAAATGAAGACATCCACTGAGAACCCGAAAACACACAGTTTGAGAAATTTCAAAAACAACGCCCAAGTCGGTGCCCTTTTTACTATTTCTTTCCACAATGTCCCTAACGTTCTCATCTTTCAAATTGAGGCCTCAGCAAGTCCCGAGTTTTACACTGAGAAAAATGTTTAAAAAAAATCTACGCAGTTGGACTTGATAAAATAAACTTTAAAATTACTGTTAATATTCAGAAACTTTTTGTACTTTATACGAGATTTCTTAAGTTTCGTAAGGCATGTTATTTAATTGACTATATTGTTTTCCAGTGGTTTTTATTTCTGTTATCAATATCATATCATATAGTTTTGAAGATCTCTCTTGACCGATTTTCTGTCTAAAGCAATAGGTTTAATATTAAAATGTCCCAGATAAAATGTATTTTTATATATACAGGTATATATTTACTATTTTTCCCGGTGTAGCGCACATATTAGTTGAAAAATTGTATAACAAAAGTTAAGAAAAATTGCCTGCGACTGGGCGGAGGAACCGGGGAGCGAAGTGTGCTCGCTGGACAGAGACGTAGACAATGGCCTGGCTGGGGTTCCGGGGACTATGGGATATCATATCGGATCGGATCGGTTCGGATCGTACCTGCGGTGCCCAGCACATCCAGCACAGCTGGAGTTGTCACTGGGCATGTAAAGAGCCAAACAAAATCGAGTCAATGGGTGATGGCTCATTTTGAACCTCATCCTCTCGCATTTTTCTGCCTTTTTTCGGGAATCATTTTCATGTTTGCCGCTCTGGCTAGCAAACAACTAATTAAGTCATCAGGATGAAAGCAAGTCGGTAAAGGAAGCTGGGTAAATATTTACGGGATGTGACTGTGAGCTGGACAGCAGCTGGCGGTCAACAGAAAGAAGCTGCTGGGTTTTTGGAGAAAGACAGTAAAGTAGAGAGAAATGTTGAAAGTAGTTAAAATAAGACATTTAAATAAATTAAAAATATTTATTATAATATTATTATTGGGAGTAATAATATTTTAAGATATCAATACTTTGATCCATCATATTTGTATCTATATTTGAATACCCTGTCCAAATACTTATCAGTATTAATTTGCTGAAAAAGTTTGTTCTGAAATGAGTTCAAAAAATAAGAAAGCCGGCTTACAAATTTTCTTTTAAATGTGTTTTTTATTTTATATTTTTTTTTGATATTTCTTTGATATTTGTTCTTAATTACATATGTACAAAAAGTATTGGGCGAACTACAAGGGCCCTCGACTGGCAAGAAGTGGCCTCAATTTAGGACCGAAAGTCATGAAGACTCAGTGCTCCTTCCTTGCTGTAACTGTCGACTTTCCAGGTCGACTTGGAGGACACGGTGAAGAAGCGAAGCGGTCAATGCGGTGATGACCAGAAGAATTTGCTAAATTGCAGCATTTAGACGTCACGTGTTTTTCGAGGGGAATAAAGCAGGAGCTTCTATCTCCTGGCTCTTCCCCAAAACGACCCTTGTCCCTGGGTTTCTGTTGATCCAAAGCGCTGGGCTTGGTTTTGCGCCGGCTCCCAAGATTTAGCTGGATGGGAACTTGCCAAAGAACTGCATGCGCTGGAACAACTCGGCGTTCAGTTGTGGTGGATAGCCCTGCATCTGGGCGGGATGTGGCGACTGGTGGTGGTGGTTCTGCGGCGCCTGGTACTGCATCTGCTGATAGGCGGCCTGGTAGGCGGCGGGATTCATGCGCTGGTACAGGGCGGCGGCGGCAGCAGCGGCGGCGGCAGCGGCTCCGGCGAACGGAACACCTGGATATCCATAACCAGGAGCAGGAGCTCCATAGGGGGAGCCACCCATCATGGGCGAGAAGATGGCCTGACGATAGGCGGCCAGTCGAGTGCGGCTGGCACCCGGATTCTTCCTCCTCAACTTGCCGGTGGTCTCGCCAATGAACACCTCCTCGGCCGAGGGGTCCAGGATCCAGTAGTTGCCCTTGCCGGGATCGTCGTAGCTCCGTGGGATCTTGGTGAAGCACTTGTTCAGGCTGAGATTGTGGCGAATCGAGTTCTGCCAGCCCCGCTTGTTGGCCTTGAAGTAGGGGAATCGGTTGATCAAATACTGGTAAATCCCGTTCAAAGTCAGCCGCTGTTCGGGGCTATCCTGGATGGCCATCATGATGAGGGCATTGTAGCTGTAGGGCGGCTTCTTGGTATCGCTGCCGTTGCTCAGCTTCTGCTTCTTGCTGGGATTGCCATCCTCGCTCTCCTGGTCCTCGTCCAGCTGGTCCTCCAGCTCGTCATCGAACTCCACATCGAGTTTATCGTTGTTCTGCGACGAAAGACTTTCGGCGGCACTGCTCATTGGAGTGCTGGTCCTGCTGGGGCTATCGAAATCCTCCGAGGCGGAGAGTTCGCCATCGGAATTGGAGTACGGATGAACGTACTGGTGGTGATGATGATGCTGCACCGGTTCGGTTTTGATGGCTGGTTGCGTTGGGTTGGGTTTCTTGGCCAGAATGGCATCGATGGAGAAGTTGCTCTTGAATTCCATTTCACTTTTCACCATTGTTTTTTTTCGGTTGTACAAGTTTTGTATCTTTGGTTTCTGATTCTCACACACGACTTGAGATCGCTTGAGATGTTTGCGCTTGAGATGGTAGCTCTGAACTGATTCTCTACAGCCCCGGATCGGACTATTTATAGTCCAACCCCCGGTCGCCCGAACGAAGTCTACACGAAGAGAGCCCACAGGCCGAAAGAGACGGGTAGCACAGCACGAACTGGGCGTGCGAAAGAGAGGGGTGGTTGGGCAGTTAGGTAGCTCAGACTCCGCCCTCCATTTTGTGACCATTTTGTTCCACTCGCCTTCCACAGAAAGTATGTTGTATATATGGAAAGCGGACTTTGTTTGGGAACTTGTGGATGTTTATTTGCAGTCTTTTGCTGCTTCGGCGTCAAAATATCCATTACATCCAATCCAAACAGGGTCGGTCTTTGGGGTTGCTCTCAGTGCGTCTCGCTTCCGCTCGCTGTTTTGACTATTAATTGCACTAACAAGCGGCAATAAAAACAAAAACACCAAGTCCAGAGAATCGCAATTTAATCAGGATGTTTATAATTTGATAATTATGTTTGATTAGGGAAATAGGAGCTGTCGAAAAAGTGGGCCATTTCTAATCACTTCAATGAAGATGGCCATTATTATTGGCCTTCTAGTTTTGAATAGCCAAGAAATCCTTGAGACAATCTAAAAGAAATGGCAATCAAATTATATAAGTACTTTGAAATAGTGAATTTTTAAATTATAAATTTATTTGGTAAAAAATTAAATCATGTATTAATAGATAGGAGAATAAGTTCAGAGATGTTGATTAAGGGTTGATAATAAATTTTCAAAAAACATATTTAATAGAACGAAATACCAAATCCTTAGACTAGGTGTAATTTAAATGAAATTGTAAAATAATAATTTCTATAATTTCCATTTGTGCTCAAGAAATAATCTTGTTGTATTATATATGGGATTGTATATTTTATCCACTTATAATTTAACAATGTATTCTGCGAATTAGTTTTCCAGCAATCTGAGAGACTCCTTGAGTTGCTCCTAATCCCGCCCAAACTAGATCAAGGGTCGCTTTTGTAGCCCGGGGATTATCTGCCTGGGCTTACGGAACGATTTTCAACAGCTCAATGGAGCTCAGGATTCAGGACTCAGGACTCAGGTAATCCGAAGGGGTTAAACCTTCAAGCGGCGGGATTTGTTCCCGTTTCGCGACAGATTTGCGAATTAGTTCTGGGCGCGCTTCGCCAGAATCAATGTGGATCTCTGGCGATCCTTTTGGAGATTAATAGATTTGGAAAATGCATCCTGACAAATATTTGAGTTCAGACTTAGAGTTAAGTTTAAAGTTGGTGGGCACAGAGTTATGTTGTGTTTTGGTGATTTGTAAGGGAGTCAAAGCAAAGTCCAGCGGCCGGAAAGTTCTTATAAAATTGTAATTCAGTTAGTTATTAATTACAAATATTGAAAGCAAGTTATTTTTAGAATAATTAATAGATAAAATGTTATTTGCAAGCCGAACTCTGTATAAAGGGAACAAGTTCCAATGCAGAGAATTCTTTCCCAAATTAGTTGCAACATAAAAAGATTATTATCTAACAATTTGTATTTAGTTTTTGGAAATATGCTTAGAGGATATCTTTTTTATTAACCATTTTTAGATAGTTGCCGCATTGACAATTATAAGTAAGGCCTGACATATGTATTTCATATGGAATAACATCCTTGGGATCAAACGAAGTGTCGCCGACCATACTTTGCGATATGGCTACCGAAATGGACTTAAAGTCCGGGGTTTTCGATTGCAGTTGGGTTGGCGATGGACCGTGACTAGACCCCGACTACAATAACAAGGAAGTACAAGTGGTTTTTGTTTCCACAGTGTTTTATGTTTTTATGGCATGTTTTGTTAGAACAATTGAACAAATATACAGGCAGATAAATCGGGCGAAAGTCAAGTAGACACAATGAAGACGTCAGCGCTGTGGGTTATTACAGATGGATGGGGCGAATACTTGTCGGCGGCACTGTGCGTTTGATATCTTAGACAACTTGACAAAACAATCAAAGCAGCAACAACACATGTTCCAAATGACTGTCTATTAATTTGCTCCCTTCTCATATTTTTATTTTTTGCTCAAAACCAAAAAATAAGTGAACAAAACAATGGCAGAGTTGGGAAAAAAAAAGTAGGCAGCGCACTTTTAACGCAGTAGTAGTAGTCCAATTGCCGATGATAATGATGCACTCAGAGAAGTCGGTAAAGTTAAAAGTGCCCGAAAGAGATGGGGCTAGGCAGGGAGAAAGAGAAAGGTAGAGCAGTGGAAAAAAGTAGGCGGTTAACAATTGTCGAGGCGGCAGGTTGAGTTACTATTCTTTCTTCCACAGAGCGTTTCTTTCTTTTCTAAGCGAGGGATAAATGAAGATTTGAACGCCTCGATTTTCTTTGCGGCTTCCCTTTTTCCCTCTTTTTTCTTTTTTGGCTGACCCACTAATTGAGTTGGATATTTGTATAGTTTTTTGCAAGTCGGAGTCGGACATGAAAGGCGTTTCGCCGACTTTGACTACGACTTTTCCCTGGTGAGTGCATAATTTTGACAGCCGCGACAAAACTAATTGATTTGTGAAATCCCTAAGCCATCGAAAATCCACAAATCCTGGGACACACACATTGCGGAAATTTGAGCATAGTCTAAAGGGTAATTAGATTATCGACTACAAAGTATGGATGGTATTTTACAGAGCAAAATATAAAATATATAAAATCCTGCCGAAAATGCCTGTAGCTATGGCCAAATCCTTTCTGTATTTTGCAACTTTTGTATTTAATGTACAATAAGTATTACATTGATTACTCTGTTAATCTTTCATTTCAATTTTAAAAACAGTCAAAATTAAAAAATAAAATTTCTAAGACATATAACCTTGAATAAATATTTAAGCAAAAAGGAATTCAAAAGGTTTTATATACATTCATATTTTAATTTGGAAAATTAATCTATTTTAGCTTAAATAAAGTTTGTTTCCTTTTTACAACTTAAGAAGTCATTTTAAAATAGTTTTATATAAGTAGTTTCTGTTTCTAACACTTGGTGTGACTCTGGTTTTGACTTTAACGTTTCTCTGCTGAGAAGATAATGCAGTAAAACGAATTGATTAGCGATTTGTGATCCTTGAACGCACACCTTTCACAAAATCGACCGTGGAGCAGACCGAGAGCATGTGGTCGCTGATTGGGTGATCAGGACACCATAGGGATCACGCTGGCTGACATTATGGTTTCATTGCCAAAACCACACTTAGGCGTTTCCTTGGCGAGCTTCACGCTTCGAGCGAGCGCTACGCCTGCCTCATTAGCTCACAAAAACTGACGAAAACTATGGAAAACTAAGGGAAAACTAAGGGAAAACTAAGGGAAACTAAGGAAATCTGTAGAGAACTATAGGCAATGCATAAGCGAATTCCAAGTAGACACCGTGGCCACAGACAATGTGCATGTAATTTTCAATTAACGCCACAAGATTTCCCTCCTTCAGAACTTTCGCCCGGTTTCGTTCCACTGTGGGTGAGCATTGAGTCCCATAATTGATCGTAATGTGCGATATTCCTTTTGAGGTCCTGCTGTCAACAGGACTCGTTGCGATCCTCGGAGACTGTCACATGGCTGGGACATCAGCAGGACATCCTTTGCATTTGTCGCGCTCAGCGAGTCGTCTTCTCGCACTTTGCCTTTCTGCCATTGTCCTGTCGACAGGATATTCTGCATGCACAGGACTTTATGGCCCAAACAATGGCCATGATCGATCTATCGTTGCACACCCAAAAAATATCTGCCGATTTTTTATGCACCCGAAACGCTGAAATCTGTCACTAATCAGGTCCTTTCCCTCGTGTATTTCTAAGTCTCAGTTTATTGATAAGTCCGGTGTCAATCCCAGATTTTGAATGAATCCCGCTCCTTGGCTTAGGTACAAAACCGGACTTAAGTTTATATTGCCTTTACGACCTGGTTCACTTTTACGGCTGCCAAATCTGCCTTTCAGTTTATTGGTAACCAGGTAGTGGAAAAAATGGTTCACCTCATTGCAAAAGAATCATAAATATGTATCATATTCCAACACCCCACATTGTAAAAATTATTTAACAATGAAAAGTTAAACAAAAAGGGGTTAACTGAATCACAGAATCGATTAATAACCTAAGTTGTCATTTAATAATTATTTATAAATAGATAATGAATCAATTTAATATATATTTTTGGTATTAAAACAAAGCTAGCCCAATTGGGAAAGGCTTAATTTAATATATGTATACATTTTGAAATATATATAAAAAATGTATAAAAATTTCAATGTTTTATTTCCTTTAATTAAGATCCCCGCTCTCAAGAGCGCCTCTTATTTTTCCCTCTTCGGAAACAACTGAAATTTGTTTTATTTTCAAACCATATGTGTGTCCAAGTTCCACTTAAGTTGAGCCACCTCCCCCATATGGAAACAGCTGGAGATCATAAGCAACCTTCTTTGACAACTTTATAGCCTAACGAGCTGAAAGGAACTCCAAGCGTACAGTGAACACCCACTGAAATCGATCAGTTCCACAACGAGGTACATAAAAAAAATATTTCGCATCCTTCGGTGGGCGACTGCGACTTATTGATTAAGTTGTCCATGCGGTTGGGATTGGGATTGCCAGACAGGATGCATAAAAACCTGGAAGGATCTCGCCCGCTATAGTTGATCGAATTGTTAAGGATAAAGGGCAACTGGTTGCCATCCACCATTTACGAGTCATCGTTCCCTTTTTTTCCATTGCAGCTTGCTAGCCAGAACTAAGTTGATTCGTCACGCAGATTTCGATACATTAAATGCAATCATTTGACAACAGGACGAAAATATTTTCATCCATTGTGTCCTAACAACTAGGATACGACTGTGTGTGTGCTGCGATGGTATATACCATATAGGATGCATCAGTTTGAGGACTCAGTGAGTCCTTGCAGGTTTCCCAAGCAGTGGGACTCCCCCCCAAAGCGTAGCAAATGCGTTATGAGGATGCTCTATAGAGGATATCTCAGGGGTTAGG